TGCCCCCTCTCTGACAGCAAGCATCAACGACCCGCTGGCATATGGATCGCTATTTGCCGACATCAGTGGCAGCGAGGTCGTCAACCCCGGACCACTCGCGACGCCGACCAACAGGAAACAGACAAAGCGTCCATCCATCGTGCCCTACTATAAACTGAACCCCACGTCTGCGTCACGGTTCGCCACCCCCCAGAAAAGGGGCTTTGGGCTCTCGTATAGCACTTACGGGACGCCTAGCAGCCCTGCGAGCGTCGCCAGCACGCCTGGCGCTCTGTCCCAGAGCCTGCTCGGCGGAAGCCTGTCTCGTAATCTAGGCAAGAGTGTCTCGACCAACAACCTCCGCCGCAGCTTCAACATCGAAGACAGTGTCTTATTGCCCGGTGCTTTCTCTGCCAGCACAGGGCCTCGGCCATTTAACACCGGTAGCATGAAGAAGCTTGTTATTAACAAGGAGCTCCGCACCGATCTCTTCTCAACGCCAACCAGGGAGAAGCCGCAGCCAGAAAGCCCCAACACTGCTCGCAGGTCGAAGCGGGTTAGCTTCGACACCACCGGAAACCCCCCAGCCATCGAGGACGGGAGCGCGACGAACGGCGCGCCCAATCCCGCTCCTAGCGCAGAACAGCTCGGCTATATCAGAAAGAGCACCAACGGCGCAAATGGATCTCCGGCGACAGACGCTGACTCGTCGACCCCCGAGATGGAACAGGTCAAGGGCAACGAACTGGCGGTCGTGCCCGAACACAAGGCTGCCTCGCCTTCGCCTCGCGCGACCGTCCCTGCTGACGGCGAAGCCGGAGAGTACTGGATGTCCCCGACCAAGGAGGAGATCGAGAACATGAACCGCGTACAACGCCAGAAGGTGACGGGCTTGACGGTAGGCCGAGACAATGTCGGCTCTGTCCAGTTCAAAGTGCCCGTCGACCTTACCTCGATTGACCTCGACACCATCTGCGGCGGAATTGTCGTCTTGGTGCCTCGCTCGGCGACGGTGTATCCCACTCATCTGAAGAAGCCACCGGTCGGTAAAGGCTTGAACGTGCCTTCCCTCATCAGCCTGCTGCACGCCTGGCCGCGTGCCTCGAGAACTGGGAAGCTTACATCCGTCGAAAAGCACGTCGAACGTCTCAAGAAGATCCCCGACACTCAGTTTGAGAACTACATTCCCGAGACTGGCGAATGGTCCTTCTCCGTCGAACACTTTACGACTTATGGTCTAGATGACAGCGAAGACGAGGACGAAGAAGCCGCACCGGAGCCGGCAGAAGTGGCCCGGCCTAGAGATAGCCCGAATCGCACACCGAATCGCGCTTCTATCCCAGGTGCCTTTGATCCGGACGAGAACTACGGTGGCGAGCTGGAGGAAGACGAGCAGATGGCGGAGGTTAGCGGACCCCGGTCGTCTTTTTTAGCTAATCGCTCCGTGGGTTCTGAATCCCATGCTCTTGTCCCCCCGGGTGAAGAGGCTATGGATGATGAATATGCGATGTCCGAGGTGAACGATGACACGAGCGCGCACCCCGAACACCATCTCGCCACGGAGCGTGACGACCACTCGGTCGACGACAACCGGTCGGACCTCACTCTCGAAACGCCGGCCGGCATCATGAGAGCAAGAATGCGTGCGATCAAGATATCGGCGACGCCGCAGAAGGTCCAGGTCGCAGCTGGCGACGACTGGATGGGCATGCTCAGCAAGAGCATCAGCCCTCAGAAGCGCGATCGGGCGCTACTCAAGAGCTTGCACGAAGCTGCGGTCTACGGCTCGGGGAAAGACAGCGTGCGCGAAGCATCACCAACGAAGAAAAGGATCGTCCCAGACAGCCGGGGTTTCGCGACTAGCATTGATCTGATGAATTCACTCTTTGAGCACGCCAAGGCACCCACGGAGAATCTCCAGGCCTCTGTTCGGCCACAAGGCGTCAAGGTTTGTTAAACCCTCTCTGATCTTGATCTCGGAAGGCGTGAAGTCGAGTCACAACATTGTGTATCTATACGAGTAAAAATTGAGTTTATTAATACTAAAAATTATGATTGTTTCCTCATTCTAGTGGCCTTACAAGCGAGTATCGAAGCACCTTGATGAAAGCCAGATGGACGAAAAGGATCGGGCCTGGCATGACACGATGCGTCCGACTTGGGGACCCGGTGGCACCCTGATCTTCTCTGCCACCCCATCCCCTGCTGCCTTTGGACAGTCGGGCCGCGTGACCGGGAAGAACGGCCTGATGACGATGATGAAAGGAGGTATTGTCTCGGAGACGCAGGACGTCCGGATCGCCAAGTTCAGCAATGAGGTAAGTACAAAATCACGGTGTAGATGGTGATATGCGGCTACTCACTCGGTTCTTTCCCCAGATGTCCGCTGCGGCTCTCGAGACTCATATCAAATTGACCCAAGTTCATGTTGCGGATGGCATCCCGTCTGTGGAGTTAAAGCCCATATCGAGCATCAAGGACTTTTACGCTGCTAGCGGAACCAAGAACGCGGCCGACGAGCACGAGCGGCTTGTCTGGGAGCTCGCCGGTGTGCTCTTCGACAAGGTCAAGATTCCGACAGAACTACTGGGCGAACCGGACGCCGTCGAGAAGCTGCGGAGGGAAAACCTCTCGCGGCTGTGGGAATCCATGGTGGCGGAACGCACGAACAAGGCGGTGACCATGGCACACGCTCATGAGGAGAAGGCCCTGGCCGCTCTCTCAGGCCATCGCGTGGTCGAAGCATGCAAGCACCTGATAGAAGGCAAGGATTTCCGACTCGCCACCTTGGTCTCGCTTATCGGAACGAGCGACGCCACCAAGAGAGACATGAGGGAACAGCTCAAGGAATGGCGGGACGCGAATGCGCTATCGGAATTCTCGCCGTCGATTCGGGCGTTGTATGAGATGCTAAGTGGCAACGTGTGCACGTGCGAGGGCATAAAGGGGTCCCCTGAGAACCGTGCCGAATCCTTTTCGATCTCCAAGAAATTCGGCCTCAACTGGCAGCAGGCCTTCGGCATGAGGCTCTGGTATGCAATCTCGGCAAAGGCCAGCATTGCCGAAGCCGTCAACAAGTACCAGGAGGACGTCTCTCAAGATAGAGAGCTGCCCCCGGTGGTGTGGTTCGTCCAACACGGCATTCCTGCTATCTGGGACGACCCCTACCAGGAAACCCGAGAAGACCTGCTATGGGGCCTCCTGAAGCTGTACACGGACGACCGAGCCGACCTCGAGGCCATCCTGCGGCCTGAGAACTCGCAACTATCCCCACTGGATTACCGGCTATGCTGGCAGCTGGGCCAAGCCCTGACATCCGCCGGCGGGGTTTCGTTCGGAAAGGACGCGGCAGAGAAAGCCGACGCAGCGACCATCTCTTTTGCGGCGCAGCTGACCAACGAGGGCAGCTGGCTCGAAGCTGTCTTTGTGCTGCTCCATCTCTCCGGTCCGGATGCGCGAGCCAAGGCGATTCAGGACCACTTGTGCCAACACGCTTTCCTGATCGGCAACGAAGATTCTACAGCTTTTAAGAAGCTCGCCCGAGATTTCCAGATACCCACCCAGTGGATATGGCACGCGAAGGCCCTCTACATGCGAAGCGGGAAAAAGGATACCACGGCCGAGGTCCAGTGCCTGCTCCGCGCCGAGTCCTGGGCAGAAGCTCACCAGGCCTTCATCAAGGAAGTGGCGCCCAAGACCATCATCGAACAAGATTATGATGGCCTGGCCGATATCCTCCGGCAGTTCGAGGGTCGGCATTCTCACGTGCCCAGCTGGAACGTAGGCGGCGAGGTCTACAAGGCATTCCTTCAGCTCATGGGCCACCATCGCCGTTCCGAGCAGCCGCCCCAGGCGCTGGTCGACAACCTGCTCGAAGGTCTGCCAGCCATGCACGGCAACACCCCCGAAGCCGGTGTGGTGGAATATGCAGCCCTCACGGAGATGGCTGCCGAGGTGGCCAAGGGTGTTTCCAACATGGCCAGAGCTGGCCAGGTAAGAAAGACGTCCCATCCAGTCCATGATATGTCACGACCAGCACCCGCTAACTTTTGTTTTACAGTTGAAAGTCGAGCGGATCTTGCGTCTGCCACTTACGGAAGACGTGCTCTTGAAACACACCCGGGATCTGTCATGGTCACATTACAATGCCATCCTGGCCGGGCGCTAGGAGCGGTCCGTGCCAGGGATAGACGATTCGCGTGTTATCTACATAGATAGTGATGAAGAGATGGAGAGTTGGCATATGGGTTGACTCTAACCGGTGCGGTTTGGAGTGTTGTACTGTGTAAGATGAAGCGCTTTGTTGTGCAGCGCCGAGATTGCAAGGAAAAACTATTTGATAGTGCTTTTTTCGAGCGCGGGTTATGTCCTAGCTAGGTAGCTCATACTTCCGGGAACCCAACAAGAAAGAAAAAATTGGTTGATTAGGAGGAAGTGGACAACAAACTTGAACAAACAGAATGGACCATACATAGACTTCGGGAAATGCATATCGGGTTTGGGAAGTTCGGGGCCGCTGCCGTTCTATATGGCTTTGCTGGCTGGTCATGGTGGCTGTTTGGCAAGCTGTTTCCTTCCAGGTAGCTCTCGGGTCTCTAGGTATCTAGTCTAGTCAAGTCAGAGTAGATAGCTAAATATGTGTAATTCTATATCCAAAATCATGCGTGTGCTCTACAGTATCTGTGATCATGCCTGGTATACTTCTCGCATCAGTGGGCTTGACTGTAGTCTGTCTGTAAAGCGACTTGCTTAATCTGGACTAACTAACATAACCTGCTTAGGTTAAACTCACTCTACAACAGGAGACAAGAGGGTAAAAAAGCCAAGACAAACACAAGTGGTAGAGAAACAAGGAATGCAAGAAAAAAGAAGGGTATAGAGGAGAGAAGGAGGGCAAAAAGGAAAAGATAGAAAGAGCGACTTGCTTAACCCGGACTACGTACTACTTAAACTCACTCTGCAACAAGACAGCAACAACAGGTAGAGAAACTATGAATGCAAGAAAAAAGAAAAAAGAAATCTGAGAGCTGCAGGATTCGAACCTGCGCGGTTTCCCATCGCGGAAAAGTTTTTATCTACGGTAACTGTCTTGGAAAGAGACAATGGACCTAAACACGACGCCTTAACCACTCGGCCAAACTCCCGGGCTTTTGAGGTTGTTGAATGAATGAATGAGTCATGTAGTGGACTAATGTGGTTTATAGAGAGTTTGGGAGGCCCCCGCATAGGTAGGGTGTCTTGAGGTTTTTTAACTTATTGAGCGGAGAAGTGTTGGGAGTTTACATTTTGTTGTTTGGTTGCTACTAGGTTGTATACAGGTCAGGGGTTTGAGTGCCTGATGCATTTCTTGACCTATGTTGCTGGTTATTGAGACGGGTTGAAAACTTCGAAGGTGTTTAGAAGCAGCCTTTTTTACCTTGGGACGTCTCTATTCTCTTTCCTTTCCCTGAGGACTGGTTCTTTGCTGGTATTCTTCGACGTACATGGCTTGCTTTGAGCTTTACACTGTCTTCGGACTGCTTGAAAATACTGATATCGTTCGTTCAGCAAAATTTAGACAGGATGCTTTGATAATTGATTTGCTCACCGTCTTCTTACTTGTGCTACCCCTATCCCGTCGCATGCTGAGGGCAAAAGTTGATAAATTATAGTAAAGGAGCGTTTCCATCACCAATCAATGTCCAGCTGTGGTAGTGTAGTGGTTATCATCCTTGCCTTCCAAGCATGGGACCGGCGTTCGATTCGCCGTCACAGCAGAATAATCATTCAACGTATCAATATGTTTTTTTCCCTTATAACTGTGATTTGGCTCTTTTCTTCCTTTTTGCTCTTTTTGGTAAAAACCAGTGTAACCCCGTCGGGGCTTTGGGGTTTGGGGACGAGATGTACTTTTGTCTGTTTGGAGAATTTATATGTTATTACATAGTACTAGGAATTCGGTTTTATCTCGGATTAGAGATCTACATATACACGACAGTCTCTACCACTCTGAGACGGTTTACATCTCTGAAGACGCCCAAGGCAAGGATGCAGTGGCAAGCTGAACTCGGAAGGTACTGACGGTAATAGTTGCCCCAGGAGAGGGTTAACCTAGACGTCTCGTTCTCCACTGCTCTCTATGGTCTGGATTTCCTTTCCATCACCTGCGACTTCACCACTTTCTATCGAGGCCTGCGCACTGTCTACAGCCAGCAGGAGACATGCATCGAGGCTGGATGTAGGTAAGGCAGGTACTGCCTACTGCTACTAGTTCATCTTCATAAGAAGGTACGTGTTACTAATCTATGAGGTATCTATTTTGGAAGGCACGTATCAAGGCAGGCAGTGACGCGTGAAGGATGGTTTGGTGTATTGGCACTCCAGTGTCGTTCTCCTCTCTGTGGTTCAACGCAGATTTCTGCCTCTCCAAGATCTTCGCTCTCTGTGCATCTTCCCTTGTTGTAAGATCTTTGTACATGTTGAGGACTGAGAATCTCTGTAGAATATTTGTGTTATTTCCATTTCTCCTTTAATTTAACTATCAAATCTCGCTCTTCAATTTCAAAAAAGAATGGAACAGGATCAAGCGGGCACGGAATCTGTTCCTGATGCCCTTATCACGAGGCGGCACGCGGGTCGACCTCCAAAGCCGCAAGGCAACGAACTCCCTGGACGTCCGCGCAAGTATGCTCCGAAATCTCAGGATCAGGGTCCAAAGAGATACCGGGCCCCTGGAAAGCCCTATGTCGCCCCCTCCCAGCTCCAGAGTGACAAGGACGGCCGACAGCTCCATTGCCCGGACTGACTACAACTGGAAGTCGAAGGTGGCCTCTCAGCGGTACCGGATAGTGCACAGGGGTCCTAGTCGTCCTCGAAAGTACCCTCCCGGCCGTCGCCGCACCAATCGTGAAGGTTCCCCCAGTACACGTCAAGTTGGAAGCCACTCCCAGAAGCAACCGAGCGAGTCGTCCTCGGAGTGGCCAGATGGGTCTTAAAACTGTTTATCCCAGCGTCCCGACAGCATACACGGGTACTCAAGCAGTCTTGAAGATACAGTATAGTCAGCAAATTCACACCTCTGCTGGACGAGGATGGCAGCAGCGACGATGGGAGTTCACAGCCGCGCTCCTCCCCAACGCTGCTCGTCGTGCGGAGTGAACCGCAGCCCAAGGCTACAGCCCTGGCCCAGACCCAGTTGGGACCGGAACCTGCACCCAAGAGTGAAGACAGCAGCGATTGGCTACCGCACACGCCAGAGCACCATCGACGGACCATTCCCCATGACGTTGGCCATACCCAACCCTGCTACCTCGACGAGCAGGAAGGCCCGAAACCGTCCGTGCATAGTCTGAAGCGTCTCCTACCTGCGTCCCTCGACGATGGCGCTTTCGAGGGGCGTCTGCCCGCAAGGAAGAGAACAGAAACCATCGATTTGGACACATTGAGGTCCAAGCTATGCAGCCACGACAGGCAGTGCAGCCATGAAGACGCCGTCGAGTATCAGAGACGCCTGCACTTGCTGCTGGACCGTGACATTCCCCGGTTCACGTACAGGGACTGGAACAAGGGCCTCCGAGCCAAGTACTGGAACAACGATCTGGAGAAGAGATTCACGGACCTTTGGGAAGGCCACAAGAGACGTGACAAGGTGCTTAGTCTCACCGGCGACCCGCGTATTGACCTGGCTTTTGAGGCCATGCTCTGGCAGGCCATGTTGATCCACTTCAACGCGACGCCACGAGATTTGCTGAGTTACGGCCTGAGACTGCACGAGGAGTGCTATGATGCGCCGGAATCCATCCTTTTGTCCAGGAGAGCGGCAATGCTGTTGCGGGACATAGTCATGCACCCCAATTGGGGCGGAAGGGTCTCTCGCCTGAGATATGTCCTGCAGAAGGCGGCCCAGTTCTCCATCGAGGGCCACCTCGCGCCCATGCCGCCAGTCCAGTCGAAGCGCGAGATCGCCGCCGGCCTACCAAGACATCCGGAGGTTATGGACGAGGTCATTGGATACACTCAGTATCGAGAGCTTTTAGGCAAGGGGCCGGAGCAGCATCTATTTGTCAGGACGCTCGTTAGGGAACTGAAGGAACGTATCACGCCCAGGCCTGCCCGTAATGAGACTGAGAGACACCTGTTCTTGGTCACGATCCAGCTGTTGCGGTGTGTGGAGGACGTACTAGACGACCGCTCTTCCAACCCTTGGAGCATGAGCCTTGAAGGCCTCAGGGATGCCATCACCAAGCACCTCCGACCAATTTCAGGTGACATCCGACCAGACACACTTGCCCTGCGAGATTTGAAGTGGGACCATCACTTGTCAGATCTGCGAGATGCTTTGGTCCGTGAGGCGATGAACAGAGCCGGAGCAAGGACCACCTCTACGACCTCGCCGACCCGGACGACTTTCCTCTATACCATCTTCAGGCGGGTCTGGACCGCGGCGCTCTCGCTGTGCTCAGAGGTCAATACACCGATCCGAAGCTGGCCACGCTCCTGGATATTGAGGGGCAGGATATGCGGCGGGCAGCGGGCCTGCGGCTATTCAGAGATGAATACCTGTCCCTGGTCGAGCCCAAGGAAGAAGAGGACTCGAGAAGTTCGAATACTGCTAACAAGCTTGTTGCCGCACTTCATCCTCCTCCGGAGATCGATGAGGACGATAATATCATCTTCGTAAGGGAGTTAACCGGCGTAACCCGTGACGAATAGAGTGTCAAGGCGCAAGGAGTCATAAAGGTCCCGCCAATAAGCTGATGAAACCAGGTGCTGTGCCTGGAGGGGAAAATAGGACGACGGCGGGCCTTTTTGCGGTGCCCTGCATTCGTATCATCATCTGTCCTCTTACTCGCACGGGCTGATGCGGTGAGAAACTAAGAACCGGCATTATATATGGAGGAGGGAGATATTGGAGATTACAATCTCATGATCTCCGAGTGCAGAGTAAGACCAGCTGCACTGACAACATTGTGGTGGGGGTCCCAATTCGCTTGACACTACGCCATCGCTTGGACGTGAAAAACTATCAAGGGCTGAGCTGTAAGTTAAACCCAGGTCCATACCACAGTCCGTGCTCGTGAAGCTGTGAGACCCCAGAGAGTGAGGGGCGGGCGATACTACTGACATACCGAGCTCATGGCGAATGGACGATCACTAACTGCCCGCTCTCTACAGACATTTCCTCCCATTTGTTGCAGATAACGCAAATCCGTATTGATGTGCAAGACAAAATCGAGCTGAAGCCTGAAGCAAATTCACTTGCTTGCATCATTTAGACTGTTAATACATGGATGCGGCGGTAGGTTAAGTACTTAAGTATCGAGGATTTCTAAGAAATCCGAGGCAGAATGGGAGTCTTTCTTCTTCTATTCGTAAGATTCTTAACACAACGAAAAAAGAAAACAAATAGACAGAAAAAAGGGTTTGAACGCCCGACCTGGACCTGGACCTTGACCTAGACCTTAACCTAGCCTGCTAAACGCCATGCCGTCGTCACCAACCACATATATATATACCCCATTGTAAACTAAACCATTGATTCTCCATGTGTGTGTGTGGGTGGTGTGTGTGTATGCTCTAAATTGCGCACTCGACGTGGATAAGAAAGAAAAAAACAAACCAAACCAAACACCGTACGCCATGAGAAAAGAGGGAATAAAAATCAAACAATATCAAATGCGAACCCTTCCATCCGTCCATCGGGCTAACGGCTGCTGCCATCTTCTTTCTTCTTATCTATAAACCGTCTGGGTTGGGAGTAGCGGAGCGGAAGCGGAGCTGCTGCTCCCGTTCGTCGTGCTCTGACGCGTTCTTCTTGTTGAACTCCTCTGCGGTCGAGTTTGAACTTGGGTTTGAGTTTGAGCTTGCACTTGCACCTCCTCCTCACGACTAGGCATAGGCATAGGCATGGTCTCCGTCTCCGTCTCCTTCTGATCCCCAACGACGGTAGTAGTAGTAGTAGTAGTAGTAGTAGTAGTAGTAGTAGTAGTAGTAGTAGTAGTAGTAAAGACATGACGACTGGTATATCCCCTCTCGAGAACGATATCGACCTTCTTCTTGCTCTTGTTCATCTTCCGGCTGGCGTCATCGTCGTGTTCATCGTGATCGTTATCGATCATGGGATGCGCGAGATGCCAGCCGGCGCGGCGGCAGAGCTCGGCGACGACGACATCGCAGTCGCCGAGGAGGTCGATGTCGAAGTTGATGTGGGAGACAGGAGTGCGGGAGATGTAGATCTGGGGCACGTGCGGCGGTAGGAAGGGCACGAGCTCCGAGACGGGGGCGACTTTGAGAGAGGTCCCGATCACCAACACGAGGTCGACCGTGTCTCGGTCGTGCTTCACCAGGCGCTTGGAGAAGGCGTCCGGGAGCGGCTCGCCGAAGAAGGTGATGTCGGGTTTCATGACGCCGGCCTCGGGGATGTCGTACGTGTCGTCGTCGTCGTCATCGTCGTCAAAATTGTCGTCGTAACGACTGCGTCGTCGCGAGCGTTTGGAGGAGGAGGAGGAAGAGGAAGAGGAGGCGGTTTTCCGCTTGCGTTTGAGAGCATGGCCTTTGGACGACGATTTGAGCGATGCGATGCACTTGGCGCACCGCGGGATCTTGCCCGCCTTGATGTCGGGGAAGATCGTCTCGCCTTGGACGTGGTAGCCGCACCGCTGGCATGTCGCCGTGGCGAAGGAGCCGTGGCACTGGACCAGCTTCTCGGGCCGGATGCCGGCGTTGGCCTCGAGGTTGTCGATGTTCTGCGAGTAGTTGGTCAGGAGCTTGCCGCGGT